TTTCAAACATTACTACTTTGGCTTGTGAGTTTGTGTCCAGATCCAAGATTAACCTTCATTTATGTGATCTATGGTGTTGAACATCAGTACCTGCTGTATGGCCACCTCTCGCACGGATAACATTTGCCAGTATAATCTCATACTGGCAGTCAAACGTGGAATTATCATAATCGGAATCGGGTCAATTCCTGCAGTTTTGAATAGGAGGATCTCTGGCTCGAACATGGCGTCCAAGATAGTCCCAAAGATGTTCGGTGGGGTTCATATCAGAGATCCTTGTGGGTCATGGTAATGTTTCAGTGGGGTTGTTCCACTAAAGAGCAGTGATGGCGGAGTACGGTACATGAGGTCGAGCATTGCCATCCATAAATATTGATATAAATTTTCTTCTTTTTTGAATTGTTCAAATGAAATTGTAATTCAAAATTTTGCAGTTTTTATTTATCTAGCCATGATGAGAAGAAAATTGTATATATGAAATGTTCTATAGGCCCATGGCTTCCTCATGCAGTACTGAAATAAGATTGATTGAATATCGATGACTGGCAAGGGGAGCGTTATAAAAATGTGGCAGGATGGTGGATGCAGTACTTGCTGTTGATAACGTTGATCACTGAGTGTCCATGGTCCTGTATCCTACTTACAACCATACTCCATGCCACCCCATGCCATTACTGACCCACCATCAGGTGATCTCTCCTGTGGTAATGGTGGAAAGTAGTACTCCAGTCCATCCGCATGAAGCATTGGGTTGCGTCTTGCCAGAAGAAATACGACTCCTTCATCAAGGTCTTGGTGGATCCTCTACCCACCGTAACATATTACTGTTAAATATCAATCAAACCGCCTCGGTCGACCAGAGATATATATACTTATAAACATTTTCTTAGGACAACGTGATTGGCTTATGGTGACTGTTTTGGTTTTTAGACAGGTGTGGAGTGCATGCATTGCATAAGAACCACTCATTTCAGGAACAGACCTCAAACAGCAACAGTAACTAGTTCAAGGGTCAAGTATGGGAAGCAGCATACGCGATCCGATGACGTCTCCAGACTACTCAACACCGCTGTCGATCCCCGTATATGGCGTCGCTCATGGTTGCACACAATCTGTCGTTTTTTTACATTTTGAAGGTCATCCACTGCGTGGACGGTTTTGGATGCTGTTAGTGACCTGATACCGCTCCAGCAGTCGGTAGATTGTCCCAACATTAACATTAAAATGATTAGCTACCCTCCGTGCAGTCGAGCCAACATGCAGTTGTCCCAAGGCTTGGTTCCTCTGATCTCTCGTAAGTCGCGGCATGGCGATTCATGTCAAAACAAGAATGATTTCAGGCCAGTTTGGGACTCACTTTCATTGGTAGGGTTGTCATGATATGCACGTGCATTTTCATCGTCATACAGAACCTTTTACAACGTCTGCCTTTTTAGATACGTTTGGTCGATATGCTTTTTTTATCAGAAAACACACTGATGTTGGTAATAACTGTCAATTTGGATTGAAAAACATGTTAACAAAACGGTACAATCATAATAAAAACACCACCTTGCAAGAACAAAATGTTGCATTTGGTTTGGAAAGGTGACGTTTCTTTTGCGGTTCAGTATATTTGGGATTATACTTTCTCAAAGTTTGTGTGCTGGCGAGGGTTCGAATCTCTGACGGGACTCAACCTAACAAAAGTACTAGAATCTGTACTGTACTGAGAAAGCAGTCATCCCGAATATAACATGTTACATTTGACCACATTCCAAATGACACTATGTATTCACTTAAATGGTGTTCCAAGCATAATTTAACCTATAAGATAAGATATAACTTTATTATCCCGGAGGAAATTCTTTTCGTATCAAATACGACCTCAAAATGAATATATACAAAATTCACAAAAATATACACAATAATTACATGCACAAAATGAATGCTGATGATTCCATATCATTAACCACATAGGTAAAGAGGCTGAGTTAGTAGTTATCGCATGCATGGTGACTATTCAAAAACATTTGTTGCATTAATAACACGAATACTGTCGTAACTGGCGTTTGGGCTTCAGTAAACCCTACCACCGTTACCCATTAGTTATGGTCGTTCCACATATTCCTGGGAGATGGTAGCTCTGGCGCTCCACTCGCTTGGTCGTTGCAGGATGCTAAGTCCAGGAGTGAGGGGTCGGACGACCGTGACTCCCAACTAGCCACATAACATTCATGTACTGGCACACATACATTCATAGATAAACGCAACACCAAGTTTATACTCACATAGTTTTTACTCTGGCTCAGTCCATCTCTAACTACAACTTCATCAACAGACAGGATAGGCTCGTACCACACAGGCAACTGAGTGACGTGGACTGGCTTCGGTCACTTAAAAGCGCGCACCACTCGCTCAGTGCCAAACCTATCTTTTTATATGGTTCGAGCCTGGCCTGATCCTGATCACCTGTTTCAACCCATCGTTTTGATTTGTTAATCCTATATCCGTCCCAGTACTCATGAATATTATGATTGGAAAATTATCGGTAAATACAGTTCGGTAACTCTCCCCTTTTTATTGATCTATTATTGGGTTCTGTCTCAAGCGACGTATATATTTCTAACTTACGACTAACGCCATTCTCTTCAGACTTTCTGTCTCCCAACAATGTCTGGGCGTTATCCACCATGAGCCAAACTGTAACTCTATATACGGAGTCCGATGTAATTCTCTTACTGATTTAGGGATGCATTTTTTACCTTATAACAATACTGGATGGTATGAAGGACTGTCGAGCTCTGTTTGTTTTAAGCAAAGGTACTTGGAGGCGGCGTCCAGATGGAAGTAGTTGTAAATGGTGAGATAAAATACGTGAACTATCAAATCTAATTTTAGTTGCCTTTTTGACAATCTGGCGCTCATAAATAAAGGGAATATACTCGACAGACACTCCAGTAATTTTGCTGGCAGTATTAACAATTTTGAAATGTTTGTTTTTGTTGCGAGCAGACAGACCACCATACCAGCATAAACAATTGTCATTATGATTTTGTGAATAGAAAAGCGGCGAAGAAAATAAAGTCGCTGTTGGCCTGTTTTGTAGATGTGATCGATGTGTTTTGAAAAAGAAAGTTTTGAATCTAAAATAACACCGAGATATTTGTAAAGGTCCACTCTTTCAATTTCTGCATTATTAATTATAAGAGGACGTAGAAGTTCCTTATTTCTCCGAAAATTAACCACAATTTCCTTAGTTTTCTTTACATCATAAAAAAAGAAAATTGTCTTTACACCAAGATATAAAGTTTTCAATGCCTTGACGATATTTATGTCGGTGGCGGCGTCATCTGCGAATTTCAGAGTAAACACATCATTTAATGACAAGTAACAGTCATTGGTATACAAAATGAAGAGTAAGGGTGAAAGAACACAGCCCTGTGGAGCTCCAGTAGAGGTTGAGAGAAAAGAAGATTGATAGCCATTCACACTGACATACTGAGTTCTATGTATACCATGCATGAACTCTTTAACCCATTTTATACTGTTGCTATTAACGCCTAGATTAAACCGTTTACTCATCAAATAGTGTGGTTGGATGGTATTGAAGGTGGACGAAAAACCAATAAAGAGGATTCTTACATAGTTGTTACAAGTCTCCAGATAAGAGTCAATATTTTGCGGGAGGTTAATGTTGCGTCCTCCGTCCCACGCCCTGGTCTATATGCAAATTGTAAATGATCTAGCAAATGACTTACATTATCAAGTAACAAGTTTTTGATAACTATGTTCATTGCACATCTCATTGCTTTTGTCATAGTTCATACATGTTCTATCTAATCAGTCAGAATGACTATGTCAACCGTTCAAAATATATTATATATATATATAGCATTTGCCTTTTCATATTCAGCAAAGTGTCTTTTGACTTTTTACTGGAAACGTTCGTAGCCCTAAGAATTCTTAACTTTGGTCGTAGCCAATGTGTTAAGAATGGGCTTAAGAAGTTCGTAGGGCCACGAACGTTTCGAGAATAGCTAGCCTGGAATCTAACGAATATGCCTAAGAGGTAATGTGAGGTCGACAGAAGATTATTAGACTCCGCGAAACACGATGGGAAAGTCGTGCAAATTCCTTATCCACTTTCACGGGCGGTGGGGTAGCGTAGTGGTTAAAGCGTTCGCTCATCACTCCGAAGACCCGGGTCCGATTCCCCACATGGGTACAGTATGTGAAGCCCATTTCTGGTGTCCCCCGCCGTGATACTGCTGGAATGTTGCTAAAAGCGGCGTAAAACTAAACTCATTCACCTTATGCACTTTCAATGTATCATATGACTGTCCTTGAACAAGATGGTGACTCCAGAGCAAGATCCCTTCACGTTCCATTCAGTCGTTATATTTCATCGTTTGTCTGGTTATTCACCACATCATCCAGCTGTCAGTCCTGTTGGAGTCTGCAACCATTGATATCATTCGAGCCTCTATCGAAGCCTCGATTGCCATTAGTACTTTGAGACAAATCCGTGATGACGATATGCATTGTATGGAAGAGTTGTTCAACGAAGCCCCAGACTTGTCCAGCAAGTATGATATAACTTCAACGATGCCAAGATGGATCCACGCCAGACAGGAAGAGACACACGTATTTTCCCTTACTTGATCATCTGTCCCAGCAGTTACAACAGAAACTCATTTGTCCCATCGGTTGTTTTGAAGCACAATATTCCGTGGCCAGGTTATTACACCCTGACAGATGAAATAGGGAGGAGAGTATTTAAAATAGTTCGACTCTCTGTTCTGTTCTCGTGGACCCGGTGAAAGTTTTTGAAAGTATGTAGTATAGTACTTAGTATAGTAGTATATAACATAAAGATCAAGTCTATATCTAACCATCTGTCATTGCTTGGAATTGTTTTCAGAAATTATCTTGACTTTGTTATAAATATTTTCGGTTCGCTCGTTTTAACTCTATACAGTTAACAAATATTTATGGTTAAGATAAAAACAAACAAAGCGTTACGTGTTTTATCCATTTATTTCCTGACCATTACTAAGACTTGCCATTATGCAAAAATGATTAGAGATTACATAACTCATTTCTTTATCCTTGGTAACATGTTAAACAGCTCGTATTGATGATTAATGCCAGAAACACCCTGGTGGTGACAATATTAACTACACCATCCCAGTATGTAATATGCAGGAAACAGCCTTTGGAATGCCAGATATCTTTATCGGCCTGCCCCTTTGGGCGTTTGGTGTATGATAAACACACATACACAATTACAACACTATTGCATGAAGTGTCCACATCAAGAGAACATTAAAAAACACATCTATACAACGTCTTTCCAGTTTACATATCTGTTTTTAGAATCCGATACAGGTGTGTCTTACTGAAAATAAGTAACCAATATCCACACATTCTTAATAAATATACCATATACACGCATTTCGGTTACATTAGTCTGAGAGAAAATATATCCGTGTGAGAGAAATCAGCATTAAAACAGCCAAAAACTACAAAACTGTATGCCGAGTGTAAATTTAAAACCGTGTGGCAATTAAAGAATCAAACTACATGTACATTAATATTTTTATAAAATGTTTAGAAAGTATATCTTAAACTAATACAAGATAAGCGCCCCCTAGTCTGAAACATCTACAATGAGAGGACAGATGAACTCGGAATGTCGGATTCCAAGTGAATGGACAGCAGCCTTTGGTCGGTTGATGACAACCCTCTCTGGGCAATGAGCTCCAGGTCCTGGCTTCATGGTGTTGTCCCCGGGCATGTAACTGCGTCTCCTCATGGAGTACAGAGGGGACCTCTCCTTGTATAGGTCGGGGAGGGCGGCGTTGTAGTTGCCAGGTCCGGGGGCCTTGGCCATGTCTTCTGCGTAACCGCCGATCATCGACCGTGCCGTCATGGAATAGCCGGGAGATGACTGCTTGTCCGGTTGGAACGCTCCCAGAACCTTTGGCAGGGAGTATTTGTTTGGGGCTGGGTTGCCATCACGTTTGCGATAGCGGGTCCGAGAACCGATTGAATGCCTAGGGGCATTTCTCTCCCCCTGTGGATGAACCCGTTCTGGTGAGTAAGCTCCAGGAGATGGAGTCTTGAACGTACCTTGGTGGAGAAAGGGATAAAACTTTAGGAAGTGTATGAAAGCATTTACATTCTCTTGCTATCGATACAATAACAGTAAGTATATATAATCCAATACGATATTGCCATGGTGATGGTCATTATTGTTAGTGGTATGATTATGATTATTATTATTGTTGTTAAGCTCACCAAGATATGTCTGTCTCGCAAGCAGGGAATAGGCAGGGGTGCCGTCTCTACCCGACCTTGTTATGCTGGGGTCAATGAAATACGCTGGGCCCGGACTGCATTCCTTCTTTGTTGCTGTAGGAACAGCAAGTACGGTATTAATGACAAACAGAGGGAGTGATAAATTCATTCAGATGCATAACATATGTGTACTTAGTTAATGAAATGAACCAACATAATCACCTTTACATGCACAGGTTTTCGTTGTGCGAAATAACGTCATTGGATGCAAGGTTTCCCCCGCCAGTAACTGGTGCACACCTCATTCACTAGTCTTAATGTATTGCTGCTTCTTCAAAAATTGAAATATATACTCACGCCAGATACAGATCTTCACCTCAGTGAGTAAAACTTCATTTAGATACAAAAGTCATGTTGTAAACATGATACGTCATCAAATTACTTGGACAGAATCACCAAGAGACGTTTAAATATGGTATTTGTGGTTGCTCTGCTTGTCGGCATTAAGCTGGGTATAAAACAGGGAATTGTCGATTAAAGTCAGGTAGGGTAACACTGTAAGAAGGGACACGTACAAACAGCGATACATAAACATGTGACTACGTCGTGCGCAGCTGTGCGATGAAATAGACTTGAACGCAACGATAAACCCCATTTCACTTCATTCATGTTGTCTTTAGGTCCAGATAGGATGCGGTGTATACATGTGTAATTTAACTGTACTACCAACAGCGTCCATCAATGCTCTTGCTATCAGTCACTATACTCATACTCAGTTCTAGCAGACGCCGAGCTGAATACACACACGTATCAGATTCAGATTCTTTAGACAGTAAAGACTTGGGTAATATGCCCCTCGGCATCAGTTTACACTCAGGATAGAATATGGTTATCCATTGAAATATACATGAATTACGCATTGACGAAAGGAGGCTGGACTAAACATTTTGGTACTTACATATGCATGACTTAATGTATTTACATAATTTTGCAACACTATCTTTAGATGGGTTTGTTAATAATTGTGAAAGATTAAACATACTAGGTTTCTTCTCAAAATAGGGTTTAATTAAGTTGTTTTCGATGTACAGTATGTTTGGGGCAAATTGAAACGAATTGATATGGTATCAGAGCAACAATCACAGACGCAGTGAGGTCAAAGTTACTAAACGGAGGATCTATCGATCATTGACCCGGGTAGAGTGTGATAGGTTTCAACCCTCCCACTAATGCTTCCTATGCGAAAGCTATATGTGATGGCCATAACTCCCCAATATTATAATTGTAGTTGTCCATTAATACAGACGCTGCACATAGAGCCAAAACTGGCCGAATGAATAAGTAACACCCAGAAACACTGCAGTAATCTAACTATACAATCTAATCCCTAAATAATAATAATCTTTAGATATCTTATCCAAAAAAGCACACTCTGTGTTCATATGAACAACTATCATGTTCTGCATTGTCTCGTAGAATTATGTGTACATGTGATCCCCAATCACATCTGGATATCACCTCAAATGTACTTTAGTATTATTTACTTATTTTGGTATATTTGAATCATCAGCAACGTGTAAAAAGTCGATGTGTTTGATCCACTTCGAGTGACATTAATCTAGCATTTAAACGGATGATGAACAGCAACTATGCCAACTGACCGAAGTCCCCGAGACGGCGTCCAAACGAGTAGGCAGGTCTGGTGTACTTTGTGAAGTCATGACCATTGTACCCACACGTAGAAGGCAAGGCGTAGCGCCCAGGGCCTGGACCTGTAATAAATGATTAAATGTATTGATATCTCAGCAGGTATATTCAATTTAATACGTCCGTATTAACGATGGATTAAAAGTGGATGAAACCGACAAAAACTAATACATTGTTTAACATTCAGGACATGATTTCTTCATATGTATGATAAATCTAAATAGAGCCCCGAACAATGCTAAATTTCAGCTAGGCTTGCCAAAGTATTTCAAACCTGAACTGGATTCAATTTTCAATTTATCATCTAATGTTTTCTCGGCAAACTAATGGCAAACATTTATACGTTTGTAGTTCAGCAGAATGCCGGATACCGAGAGTTAGGGGGTTTGCTCCCCAGTAAACGTGGCGGGCAGCTATGCTCAATGAAACCTCGAAAAACTGCAAATAATAATAGAGAGAGCTAAAGTTCTAAGTATATGAAACAAATGTTAAGTTCACTCACCCCTCTGTCGAGCAGCAATAGGGATATTCTTCTTGCTCTTTAACGAATCCATATCTGATTAAATATCCCGCCACGAAAGACTCCTCGGTGGGGGCGTGACCTAACAACAATGACGCGTTGCTATTCGAGCACTTCCGGGTTGTCGTCCCGTCCCGATCTCGCGCGGTGAACGTGAATACGCGTCTTGGTCAAGTGACTTCCTGCTGTTTGAGGTACACAAACTTTAAGAACATATTCTGAATTATTATTTATTATGTACAGTTATGATGTACGGCCTAAAAACATACAGTTTCTAACCGAAAGTTGTAATCAAGTTCCTCTGTGAACTCTGCACATTCTGTCAGCCATCAGTCGATGATGTTTTGGGTGGAAATGGTTGAGTGATTCTGCATGATGATAGATAAGTCCGTCAGTTCAGTTGACTTATCTCAGTGTGTAGCAGTTGATACGACTCTGTACAGTGGCTAGAATAGCTTCAGTTGAGTATGTCATAGCAAAGAAAAGTAAAAAATATATAATTTACCTGTGAATGTGCAGTTTAAATGAATATCAGTGTCTGCCATATTTAGTTGTCTTCACTAACTGTCTCGCTTAGATTAATACCCATTTTCACATGGAAGAGGTAATGAAAATGCTAAAAGTAAAATTATAGCTGTAACATAAGTTTACCATTGCATACAACTACTTATCAATTTGTTTTGGTCTAATATCCATTTTGCTCAATGACAGTTGAACATACAAATCTGTGGAGTTTAGTGAGAATATATAGGTATACAATGTGCAGATGCTAAGGCGTGTTGTGATTGAAGGCTACTGTAATCATTCGTTTTACATGGCTTTGAGGGTTTCTTGGTGTTTGAATCACTGCTTTTGGTAATATGTTTGAATAAATAGGGTTAAGCTGTCTTTCAAAGGCTGTATTGGAACTGTTTGCTAGCAACTCAGATACTTTTCCTGTTTTTTTTTTTTATCTTCTACACCCCAAACCTTCTGTGGCTTCCACCAGCTTAACATCAACCTGTTGACAGAAAAGACATTATAAATCAGTAGAATAAGGATATTGTTATCAGTAGGATCTATCCTTTCTATTGTCTCACGAACAGGCAACTCTATAATTGTAAATGGATTCACTGACATTGTCTGAAATAATGTTTGCTCCCAACCTAATTTTACAGGTGTGGGATAGTGAGCTTGAAGCTATTTCAGACACCTAAAATCATATGCAAACTGTTCCTCATTGGACATAATGACTAAGTTCGAGTTATTAGTAATTAACAATATCTGGACTTTGAGTTTCACATAAATATCACTTGTTGATAACCTTACTTGGTAGGATAGTTCAGTTTCGCTTTTGATTTAGATATTTTTACTGAAATCTTATTTGACAAAGATGCACAATTATACATTAATGAGATATACACAGAAGTAAATTAGCTAATTTAAGGAAAGACATTGCACAGGTAGTTCACACGTTTTCCTGCTGTCTGGTAGGTGAGGAAATGTGTTGTATAATTTGTTGTGCTGATTTTCTGAAAATGACTGACCGTTTGTCATATAAGCATAATACAGCTATATACTTAAATGCAGTAAGAATTTAGACTTTGGAATTTATATTTGAAAATTATACAAACCAAAATCTGTCAATTCCCATCACCTTGACAACCAGAACTATTTTTATGTTTGGGATGGCAAATAATTGTGTGCTACTAGAACCACTATAATTGTAAAATCACTAATTGGTACTCACCCACGAGTTAATAAAGGTATAGCTAGTATCCTTCAGTTATTTATGCTAATAATTAATCGTGATTTCTACCGTTTATTCAATGGAGTTCGTGGATTGTTCAGCTAGTTTTACATTGATGAAAAACTGTACTATTTGTAGATTACGCTTTCGCCAAGGATCCGCATGTGGTATGCCCTAGTTGTACTACGCCTTGTCGCTTGACTCACGCTGCAGTTACTGCATAAATTTAACCAATTCTGCCTTTGATAAATACCATCTTTGGCGTCTTTGAGACGTGTTGCAGATAGGTCACGCGAAACTAGGTGTAGACATGGCCGATACGCCGGATTGCCCATCCAGTCAACTGCTGTCGAAAGTGATCCCTCCCCGCCTGGTGTTCTGCTTGAGACCCCATCGAAGAGGGACGTGGGATGCAGTCCGTCACCTCTAAGAAGCGACCGCCTCTCCAGACATCCAGTCATCGCGAGACAAAGTCCAAGAGGGCCTCAACGTCTTCTCAACGCAGACTTCGTGACCCCAGGGCAGCGTCTTCCTCCAAAGGGAAATCTACGAAGTCATCGAGAACTTTCTCCAGACGAGATCGCTCCAGCAGCAGAATTGGGCCTCTACGATGACCAGCCGATCATCATACCCGACATACGCCACAAGAAGCGACCAGTGACAGCTTACAGTGACGCCAGCAGAGATCAACAAGCAGCCTGATGCCTCTACACTGATGTCAGACGAGATCGCTGAGGGCCCCACCGCTAACACAGCAGAAAGGGCACCATCTACTACGTCGCAGATCATCCCAAACGATCTTTTATGAAACAGATCATGATTATGATGGAAGGCCACTATAGACTGGAGAAGCAGCCATCCCAGGGTCCGAAAGCCTGCGAAGGCTCCAACGTGACAGCACCCAGGGCACCATCTGTCAACGTAGCAGCCACGACAATGCAGCCTTCGCTGAAGGAAGTCACAGACCACCTCGACGAAGGACCCAGATGTACAGCTCTTCGCTAAGGCCTTGCTAAGGCGGGAAGAATCATCACCTTCTTCGGGGCCATACTCAGATATGGAATCTGATCACCCAGACCACACGCAAGCCTTCGGTCATATCATCGCTCCCCCAGGACCGGACGCGAATGGCTTCACCGGCGTTGTCGAAAGGACACCTGAACCCAGATCGCTCTTCATCTAAAAGATCAGCAAGGGACTACACACAAGAGCTTCGGCGAAGCTATCAGTCCCCTCATAGATCGCCAAGAAGGTCAACCTATCGATATAGATCACCAAGACGATCACCTGCGCCGATCACCACGTCGATCACCTCACAGGTCTGCACATAAAGCCTACAACTAGATCTCCACAAGCGTCAAACGATATAGAGATAGAGCCACACAGCCCTACATCAGAAGAGCAACAACCTCTTATCTATGATGATGGAATGGAAGATGATGGAGGAATTATTTTCTCAGATGCAGAGATAAGATATTGATGGTCAATAATCTAGATCTCTCATCACCTTCCAAGAGTGGCAATAAGGCGCAGACTTATCTGATGAAAGAAGATGACGCAGATGCTATTACACTACCCCCAATCGACTCGATTACATGGGCGGTACCTCAGAACCTAGATACAGCATTTAACAAAGCCACAAAGGTTCAGGACGCCACATCTGCCAAATTTCAGCCAAGAAGTTCTCCACGATAATATGGAACCCTTCTTCAAAGCTAAAGACATCGATGAGAACTATAAGCTGATCTCCGATGCCAAGAACAAGTACTACAAGATTGATGATCGGAAATTGGTTCAGATAGAAACCATGACGAAGGCTGCATGTTCTTCGGGTCTAAATAGATCTAGAACAATAAATGAGACACTTATCTCCAGATTTCGAACACCCACCTCTGAAGATGACAGAATGATTTACTCGCCCCTACTGATGCAAAAGAAGGACCAGCAGTTTTTAACAGATCATCTGACGCCTGTCTCAGCAGCACTGACCTTAGCTCGCCGTCAAGGCCTCCTAGCTTCCTGCAACTGGGGTGAGAACTTTACAGCTCCACTATATACAGCCCCCCGTGGTCTTCCCCATCCATATTTGACCGGAGGAATAGACACAGTCTCCAAAGAAGTCACCAAGGATTCTAGAGAGAAGTCCTGATGATTAAATCGATGGACACGCTAGCCAGTGTCATTCGACAGACTTCACAAAGATACTCAGGGAGATCTAAATTCACGGGCCTACAAAGAGCTAGAGACAGGAAGATTGCCAGTTCCAGGGGAAGAGATTCTTTTCGGTCGCTTCATATGGCAACTATAGAGGAGGGTCAGGACGCAGGCAGGACACCCAGAGGTTCCCGCAACTATAAACGCTGAAAGACAGGTTCGAACGACTGGAGTCTTCCACCCCAGCCGCTCCAGTACAACCGTCACAAGTGGGTGGACGCCTTCAACTACACTGGGAAAACTGGGGAATACTTCAAGACACCTATGTCTCCAACATTCTTCAACGCTGATTTCAGATCCCACTACAGGCCAAGCCTCCACTAACAGTCAACCCTCACAAGTTCGAGGTAGAGGCACAACAACTACTAAAGTTAAGAGAGAGGCGGTTACATTACTCCTAACCAAGCAGGCCATAGAAGTAATAGAGCAAGGAAACATCGAACCAGGTTTCTACTCCCCAGTTTTCCTAGTACCCAAGAAGAACTCCAAGGAGAAATACAGACTCATTTACAACATGAGCTTATTCAACAAGACTTACTTAAACAAACCACCCAGGTTCACTATGATACATCTACCGCAGCTACGGCAGATGATTCGGCCCCATGGACTACATGGGCAGTATAGATCTACAAGATGCTTATCTGCACATCCCAATACATCCCTAATCCAGGAAATACCTTCGGGTTTACGCTAGACGGGTTACATTACCAGTGGAAAGTACTCCCATTCGAATAGCATCAGCCCCATGGTTATTCACGAGGATAACGAAACCCATTGTTATCTATCTACATCGTCAAGGGCTACACGCGAGTGCGCTCTTTTCCTCGACGACGGGATACAAGTAGATCAAGATCCACAGCATCTCAAACTACAGTTAAACTACATCATAAAGCTACTAACACAGCTGGGATGGTTAGTAAACTTACACAAGTCGGACCTAGTACCATCGCAAAGATCTGCAATTCCTAGGAACTGATTTATCACCAATCTCAACCGTGATAGTCGTGACCAGAAGACCGCTGGCTCAAGATCCAACAGATCATTCCACCAGCTCTACTGTCACCGCTACCACTTCTCGACAATGGCAGAGCTTACTAGGTCTTCTAACATCAGCCCAAGACTTGACAGTCATAGGCAGATTACAGTTACGCCCGTTACAGGTCTTCGCCAATACACATCTCGACGACCTACAACCATTCAGTCTACCGATACATCTCAGACCTCATCTATTATGGTGGACAAAGAAATCGAATGTCTCGCGAAGGGATTTGTTTAGCAGAGCAGGAATTCAAGACCCATCTATATGTAGACGCTGCCGCCCAAGGTTGGGGAGCTCATCTCTCCAACCGACGGCATCAGGGTTATGGACTCAGCTAGAAAGCAAACTCCACATAAACGCATTAGAGATGAAAGCTGTAATCAACGCCATAAGACATTGGAGCAACATTCTACAGAATGCGCACCTGATGATACATACCGACAACTTCGACAGTGGCGCTTTTATGTGAACAGACAAGGCTCAACGAGATCGCGAACCTTTTGAATTTAACCTTTCAACTGTTCAATTAATCCAAGATCTAAATCTACATGTCAAAGCATGCCACATTCCCGAGCCAGGAATATACTAGCAGACGACTCTCTCGGCCACATCTACCGTCCGCCGACAGAATGGATGCTCAATACAGAGATATTTGCACAGATAATCAAGCAAATAGGAGCCGCCGCTAGTAGATCTATTCGCCACAAGGTTCAACAATCAACTACCGACATTCGTGGTCACCAGTGCCAGACCCACAAGCATGGGCAACAGACGGCTCTAAGCATTTCATGGGAAGGCCTCACGCGTATCGCTGCTTCCAGCAATAATAATACCTCTAGTATTACAGAAAATCAACCAAACGCAGAGCCTACAACTCACTTTGGTCGCTACTCTATTGGTCGGCCAGAACGTGGTTTCCCGCCTTTAATACAAGATATCGGGTCAACCGCACTAGAACTACCTAAGCTGCGCTAAACCTGTTAATACATCCTCACACCAAACAGGTGCACAGAAACCCAGAAGTATTCAAACTTCAATGCATGGACTGTATTAAAATGTGTTTAAACAAGAGAGGATATTCTACCAGGGCGGCAAAAGCGGTCACGCTTGCCTTTACGATACTCAACGCCAGAAACTTGTACGATGACAAGTGGCAAAGTTTCAAAAATTATGCAACAAACAAGGGTTTTACAGCTTGCGAGATGCCACGCGATCCTCAAGTGGCAGACTATTTGTGTTACTTTCACGGCAAAACAAACATTTAAAAGGCTCGACATTGTCAACATATCTTGCCGCTTTAGTTCTGTGATTTCTATGAGAACGGGTGTTAAATTAACAAGAACACCAGAGTTACTGGCCTTACTACTACGTGCTTTCCGATTGAGGACCAAAAGCGGAAATTCCACTTCCAGCTTGGGATCTGAATGTAGTTTTACGACACCTCACAAGTGAGGATTACGAACCATTGGAATCGACAACGCTTTGAATTTCTCTCACAGAAAACAGTCTTCCTGTTATCGCTAGCCACGGCAGCCAGAATATCTGAAATTCATGCTCTAGATTATGAGAGGATACAGTTTGATGAAAATCAAAAGACAGCGACCTGGGATTAAGATGGGATTTCATCGCTAAAAATCAACTACCAGGTCAACCAGACAGGTTATTTCACATCCCTGGCGCTTATCCTCAATTCTTGATCTCAAGATACATTGGACTTATCTCTATGCCCAGTACGAGCTCTCATAATCTATTTACGCCGTTTCCAAAACAAGGCTTAAGATCGCCAGAAGATTGTTCATCCCGCTATCGCCACAAATCAGACACAGAAGTCTCTCGCACTCACCATATCAATATGGATAAGAACTGTCATTTTACGCCTATAAGGCAGCAGGACTGGACCCTCCAACAGCATCAAATCCCCATGAAATCAGGGCATTGGCATCCACCCTCGCCCTTCATGGTAACTGTTCATTGAATACAATTATGGAAGGATGCTTTTGGAAATCTAACATGGTGTTTGCTAATCACTATCTCAGAGATATCACCACCGAGGACGCCTCTGGCATTCATCATTTCGGTCCTTTGGTCCCTCGCCAGCAATTGACAGTCCCTCGTGAGGGCTTAATATTCACCCCCACGAGATTATTAGATATATGATACATATATTCACTAGCTTATAACCCATGGAGTTCTAGGGCTATGTACATATTTAGCTTAGGTTATTCAACCTTAAGCTCATACTGAGTTATATTCAGTGTACAGCTACGCTAGAGTAGCAGTTTATATATATATATTGATATATCAGTATATTAGTAAGGTAATACCCCACTTATAGTGTATATATCTATGGATTATTATAAGGAAATATCCTAAGTCTCAATGCCTTATGAAGTTCCCAAGCGAGGGGTTATTACAATATCACTTACTTAAATCACTAATTAATCCAAAGTATTCTGTTTACCCACCACCTCTCCGTGGATTCTACAAGCAAAAGAGCATGAGTCAGGATAAGGAAAAATATGTAATTTTCTGAGTAAAATTGATATTTTATACTTATCCTGACTCATGAGGTTAGCCCTCCCATCCTCCCCACATAACACTTTGGATTTCCCTGTAAATTCAAGTGTTGGGCTCGCAAAATCAGGAGAGAGTGAAGCATGAGGCCAGAGGGTGGCGACACCTGTTCCCGCGCTTACGGCAGGGGAGGTAACTCGTGGGTGAGTACCAATTAGTGATTTTACATTGAAGGGAGCTTCAATTAAGGAGATACAAGTGTTCCACTATGTTCTCAAGAGGAAGGGGACAAGCAAAAGAGCATGAGTCAGGATAAGTATAAAATATCAATTTTACTCAGAAAATTACATTTTCATAAGTGATAGTAGTAGATCTTTATTGATGTGTCCTGTTGAATAATAGCTGCAGTCTGTTTAGCAGGAACACTGTCACAATGAGTGAGATTTAGACTTTTAAGTTCTACTGTAAATGTACCCAGTCAGTGCACTGTACAGTATCCTGATATGTTATGGATGGGTAATTTGTTGTGTTTAGGGGAAAGAGGAGAAAGACATATTGATCAGGTAGTTCACACATTTTCCTGCTGTCGTATGACTCTAATTAACAGTCTGGTAGGTTGTGAAGTGTGTTGTAGTAGCTCATTATGCTGATTTTCTGAAAATGACTGTGGCCTTGTCCTGTTGAGTAAAACGTGCTGTCTGTTTAGCAGGTGAACACCATCAGAATGAGGGAGATATAGACTGTTCAGTTCAATTGTAACTGAATGTACTGTGGTTTTCGGCACCGTTACAATGAGCACAATGACATCATCAGTATCTCAGTCTCAGGAATACCAGAGTTTCAGGAGCACCATTCCACAGAAAAAGGTATGTGTATCATGTTTCAATGTTTCAGTGTCTCTTCTAGGACGCGCGATTCGCGCTGATAATTATCAAATCACCCTTCATAAAAACAGCATAGCGCGAACTGTCGCGTATAGTAATTTTATCCCTACCTACCTTTCAAAAACTATACGTAAAAAGCTTTATATTGACAGAGAATGATTTTTAAATCGGAGTAGGCCACAGAGTCTAGTTCGATCGATAGCAACAGGAATACACGACAGAGTAACCTCCCTTGGTTAAATCCACTAACGGCACTGGGTAAACGAAATTCCCTTCACTTCAGTATGCAAATAGATAAAACTTTGCAATACAATTATGATTTTATCAATTAATAATTGAAAACCTTAAACTAAAAACTCTAAACACATTGCATATTGTATATCTCTTTCAAGACACAGTTTCCTTGATCTTTTTAAGAAAATCATTTCGTTTTAGTTACGTTTTCGAAATCAAATAATATTATCACTTGTAGTAATTCAGACGTCAAATGTAGATGAATTTTTTATTTACAACGGTTTGTGGTAATTTTGCGTGAATAATGTCACATATGTAATAAGTAACTGACTTTTTTGCACAAAATACCATTGAGAAAGTGACAGCCACGTCTTCCCAGACCGATACGTCTGTTACAGGAATGTGTGAATCGAAGGATGAGCAAAACCCTAACACCGACCCTTGTCCCTCCGACTCTAAAAAGATGAAACCAAGTGTTTTTCAGAAAAAATGGTTGAAAGAATGGCCATGGCTCTCTCAAAACAAGCTTGGTGTGATGTTATGTGACTATTGTAGCAAAAATAAAATGAGCAATAGTTTTACTGGTGATGGCTGCAATAACTTTCGTACATCCACACTATCTAGACATGCACAAACCCATGACCACCAGCTTTCCCTAATAGCTATGACGAAGTCGCAAACCACAATAGAGGCATCTGTGTCTAATTTAGTATCCAATGAGGAATTAGCTGTTAAGTCTGCTATCGACACAGTATTTTGGCTTTGCAAGGAAAACATTGCTATTGAAAAGTATGGTTCTCTGTTAGGATTGTTGGAGAAGGAAGGCTGCACCAATGTTAAAAATCTCAGTTTTTGGTCACTGTTGGTCTTGGGGCATATCGGCAAGTGCTTGTAGAAAGATGGAGTGCTATGTAGAAAGTTCCATCGCCGTATATGCTGTCAACAGCACAGAGATGTTCCTGGTTGGTTGAATGATACGAACTCACAATTCTTATGATAACCAATCAATTGTAAATAACAGGTCGGCAAAAACTGTTCAAGAAATCAGTTTCAGCATGAACCACCCATGAACTGTAGTCACGTAAAGATTAGAACAAATTTAGTTGCCACCCTAACGCTAATCCCCCGGTAAGCCCTTACATAAACATTACTGTAACAACACATACAGGTCTCTTGCTGAAGACATTCAGGAAGCAATTGCGAATACAATCATGGCTCAAATAATTGGAGATTTAAAGGATGCTTATTGTGTAGCAATTTTGATAGATGAAAGCACAGACATTTCAGTGACAGGAAAGCTCATTGTTTATGTTAAAACACCTCCTGATTCAGCAGAAGTATCCAAGAGACAAATTCCATGAATTATGGAGAATCATTGATGGCTGTCACAAGGACCCTTTCCCAAACCTACTGAAGCTTGCCTGTAATGGATTAACTTTGCCAGTCCAGACAGCAATTTATGAATGTGGTTTCTCAAGTCAAAATATTATCAAAACATCACATAGAAACAGACTGAGTGAGAAGGCACTCAGAGAGTTGATGATAATAAGTATTGAGGGCCCACCTGTTTCAACCTTTGATGCCAGCAAGGCTCGTGAGGTAATCAAAACCAAAAAGCAAAGGAGGATCTTTCAAAGATTTTCTTTCAATATGTAACAATCTGAATCAGAAGTTATGAACTTGACTTTGAGTGGACAGGATGTGGACCAATTTCAAATTATTTCTAAGCATTAAATAGAGGTTTAAAGATGTGAATTTCAAGGAATCTAGTCCAAGTTTTATCCCCCCGGCATGTGATGCGGGGGGATATAGTCGTCGCCTCGTCCGTCTGTCCGTAATCATTTTGTTTCCGGAGCATAACTCAAAGACCATTCAATATTTTTCAACAAGACTTGGTAGATATATCAAACAGAACCTTAAGTGGTGCCTTTTGCTATTTGCAGATTTTGGGCATTTTTATTTTTCCCGATTTCCGTGTTAGTCTCAAAAGGGAGGGGTAGGCACAACTCAAAAACTTCTTAATATCTTTCAGTAAAACTTGGCAGATATGTGAGGCAGAACTTGAAGTGGTGCCTTTTGCTATTTGCAGATTTTTGTCATTTATGTTTTTCAAGATTTCCATTGAAACGATTTGCACTTAGTCGAAAATCAAGCTGGACTTTAAGTAACTGTCAGATGATTTGTTCTATCAAAGATGTGGGGGCCGGGGGGATATGTCATCTTTTGATGACTCTTGTTTAAATAAGTGGTTCATGCTCATTTCAATCATTACAGAAAAAGATAGAACTCACCTTGATAAAAAACAAACTTCATATTTTTCCTTATCCTGACTCATGCTTATTGCTTGTCTTCTTCTTCTTGCGAACCTAGTGGAACACGTGTATCTCCCAATTGAAGTTCCCTTCAATAAAAAATCACTCATTATTACTCACCACGAGTTACCTCCCTTCCACAAGCGCGGGAACGAGGGCGCCACCTGAACCCATGTGCCTCACTCTCTCCTTCTTCCCCCAGTGAGCTGGACGTGAGAGCGCCTGTGTCTCCCAACACACTATATCCTTTATTTATATTTAGTTTAGTACCTCTTATACTTAGTATAGAGGTGTTACTAGTATCCTTATTCAATTTTGCATTGATTATTAATTGTGTTTCTGCTGTTTATTCACGGTTCGCCGTGATTGTTCAGTAGTTTACGTTAATGAGAATCTACACAGATTATAAACTACGTTACTCTGCTACTGATCCACATTTAAAATGCCCTAGTTGCATTACTCCATGTTCTTTTGTTTCTCGTTGTAAATTTTGTATTAATTTACCAATTTCTGCCTTTGATAAATATTTATGTTCTGTTTTTAGACGGAAGGCAGATCAATCTCGCAAACAAATTTCAGTCATGGCTAATAGATCACAAATTAATGTTCCCTGTCAACTGTTGACTGACGACCCGCCACCGGCTGGTGGCATGCCTGAGTTTCCCTCGGGGGATAAGCGTGGGACGCAGTCCGCTATGTCCAAGAAGCGACCTGCATCTCAAGATCTGCCGTCTTCTCAGTCTAAGACTAGCAAAGCGTCCATATCATCTCGTACGCTTCGTACACCCAGGTCTACAACTACGTCAAAAGGGAAATCTACAAAATCTAATAATTTTGCCTCTGATATTTTACCAGTCACAGAATTAGCCTTATATGATGATGACATTCCGATTATCATTCCAGATGTTCGTCACAAGAAACGTCCTGTATCTGCGACTGTCACCTCAGCGCAGATTAGCACACAACCAGAGATGCCTACGCTGTCACCAGAAATTTTGACTGAGGGTCCCGTCACCTTCGCAGAGAGACAACCCTCATCATCAGCGCAGACCGCCTCAGACGACCTGGTCAACCAAATCATGAGGCTGATGGAAGACCGTTACGGTTTACAGAGTCCCCAGAGCCACGGGCCCCAGAGCCCAACCCATATTATGTCATACAGGGCCCCAGAGCCCGCCTTGGCTTCGCGTAGGGCCCCAGAGCCCACAGACGCGCCTCCGCGAAGGGCATCCCAGCCCGGAGCGAGCTCTTTGCATAGGAAGTCCCAGGCCACCTCCGCGAAGGAGCTAGAGCCTCACCTATTGCGAGAGTCTTCGCGGAGAAGGAGCGCTTCGCCGAGCACGCACCTTGTAATTCACAGAGGTCGTTCGCGAAGCAAGCGCTCATATGTCGATTCGGACACTGACTCGAGACATTCGCGAAGGACGCGAAGGCTAAGTGGTTCCATTTCTACCTCGCCTAGAAGAGCTTCGAGAAGCCCCCAGCGTTCGCGAAGCCCCCAGTGTTCGAGAAGCCCACAGCGTTTGCGAAGCCCTCACCGTTCGCGAAGCCCCCAGCCTTCGCGAAGGATGTCTTCTCCAAGGTCTCCGTACACTAGCCACTCGTCAGTCCGTTCTCCACAGTCCTCTCATAGATCTTCCTATAGATCTAGGACTCCGACATATGACCATACGTCAGAAGAGGAGGATGGTATCATTTTCTCAGATGCTGAGATAAGATATTGGATGGTGAATGAATTACAACTTGCCTCCCCATCAAAGAACGAGGATGCAACTCAGACTTACCTGATGAAGGATGATGATGTAGATTATATCACCTTACCTCCTATTGACCCGATCGCAGCCGTACCAGCTAAACTAGATACAGCCTGCTCCAAATCTTCTAAAGCCCAATGTACTCATTTACCGGTCTTCAATGCCAAGAAATTTGCTGGACATAATATGGAACCCTTTTTCAAGGCCCAGGATATTGATGACAACTTTAAACTTATCACTGATACCAAGTCCAGAAGTTACAGAGTAGACGATCGCAAACTGGCCCAATTAGATACCATTTCCAGAAGGATGTTCTTCGGATTAAATAGATCTAGAACTATTAATGAGACTCTCATCACCAAGTTCAAGAATTCTACAGACGAGGAAGACAGAATGATCTACTCAGCTCTACTCATGCAGAAAAAAGACCACCAATTTCTTACAGAGCACCTTTCAGCTCTTACTGAAACTACTACCATGACTCGTCGGCAAGGATTACTAGCCTCCTGCTCTTGGAATAAGCAATTCACAGAGCCTCTTTACACAGCTCCATGGTCATCGCCCTTACTTTTTGGTGGCAACATAAACAAGGTCTCCAAAGAAGTATCTAAAGATTCCAGAGAGGTACTTATGATTAGATCCATGGATACCTTAGCAAACGTCTTTAAACAGTCAACACAGAGATACTCGGGCAAGTCTAAGTTTTCAGGGCTACAGAGAGCACGGGACAAGAAACTAGCTGCAGCTAATAATCCCAAGGATTCTTTTAAATTAAGCCCATACAGCAAATTTAGAGGAGGATCAGCTAGAGGCAGATCATCCAGAGGTGCCCGATGGATTTAAGCGATGGAAGTCAGGTTGAACGACTGGAGTCTTCCACCCCAGTCGTTCCAGTACAACCTTCTCAAGTGGGTGGGCGTCTTCAACTACATTGGGAAAACTGGGGAATACTACAAGATCCTTATGTATCCAACATCCTACAGCACGGATATCTTATACAACTCAAGACCAAGCCGCCGTTAACAGTCACCCGCCAGGGTTCAGCGTTCAACCGGCACAACTACCTATGTTAAGAGAAACAGTACAGTCTCTGCTAAACAAACAGGCCTTAGAAGTTCTGGATCAGCGAAACATCGTACCAGGTTTCTACTCCCCAGTTTTCCTAGTGCGAAAAAGAATTCCAAGGAGAAGTATCGTCTCATTTACAACATGAGCACCTTCAACAGAGAATATCTATGCAAACCACCAATGTTTAAGCATGATACATTTACCACAACCCGGCAATTAATTAGTCCACTAGATTACATGGCCAGCATAGATTTGCAAGGCGCATATATCTACACATTCCGATTCATCCCAGCTCAAGGAAATATCTAAGATTTATCCTAGGCGGCAAACATTACCAATGGAAGGTACTTCCCTTCGAATCACTTCAGCCCCTTGGGTATTCACAAGAGTAACCAAGCCTATTGTCTCATACCTACATCATCAAGGTCTGCGAGGCGCATTTTACCTAGGCGACGGGTATACAAGTGGATCCAGATCCACAGCGTCTCAGACTACAGCTGAACTTTATAATCAAGTTACTAACTCAATTAGGTTGGTTAGTAAATCTACTCAAGTCGGACCTAGAACCAGCGCGGGATCTGCATTTTCTAGGTATCACGATTCCTTACAGCTCAGAATCGTTTAGTAGTCCCGAGGACAGATGGATCAAGATCCAACAACTGATTCCCCAAGCCCTACTCTCTCCGTTACCACTACGACAGTGGCAGAGCCTATTGGGACTACTCACATCAGCTCAAGACTTGACACTCAGAGGCAGGCTTCAATTCGTCCATTACAAGTCCTCATCAATGCTCATCTCGAGGACCCTCTACCATTCAGTCTACCAGATTACGTCAAACCATATCTACTCTGGTGGACCAAGAGATTGAATGTTTGCTTGAAGCGTCTCCTTAGTAGAGCGAATCGAAAACACATCTCTCGTGAGGCAGCGTCACTAAAAGGTTGGGGAGCCCACCTTGCCGGCAGGACAGCGTCAGGCCTATGGAGCAATCAAGAGAGCAAATGTCACATAAATCTGCTAGAGATGCAAGCAGTCATAAACGCCATAAGTCACTGGAGCAACCTACTACAGAACGCTCAGTTGATGATTCACACAGACAATTCAACAGTGGCGTTTTATGTGAACAAACAAGGTTCAACAAGATCACTGAATCTACTCACTCGATGTTTCAGACTGTTCGATTTAGTCTACAATCTAATCATACATGTCAGAGCTTGCCACATTCCAGGAGCAAAGAATGTTTTAGCAGACGCTCTCTCTCGGCCACACCAACCGTCGCCGACAGAATGGATGCTCCACACAGAGATATTCAATCAAATAATCATGGAAATAGGATCTCCCTTAATAGACCTATTTGCCACTCGATTCAACAAACAACTGACAACCTTCGTATCGCCAGTGCCAGACCCACTAGCATGGGCAACGGACGCACTAAGCATATCGTGGGAGGGACTCAACGCGTACGCTTTCCCGCCTCCTGCGTTAATCCCACAAGTCTTACAGAAAATCAGTCAAACGAAGAGCCTCGATCTGATTTTGGTCGCGCCCTACTGGCCAGCGAGAACGTGGTTTCCAGGTCTCATGCTAGGAATCGGAAAACCAGTACTTCAGCTCCCACTGCGCACCAATCTATTGATACATCCGCACACCAAACAAGTGCACAAGACACCAGAAGCATACCAACTTCACGTGTGGATTGTATCAAGGCATGTTTGAATAAGAGAGGTTATTCTGCCAGGCTGCTAAAGCGGTCACGCTTGCACTCGTAACTCAACTTCGTAACATGTACGATGACAAATGGCACAGCTTTGTCAATTATGCTGCTAAGAAAGGATTTTCAGCCAGATATGCTACACATCCTCAAGTGGCAGATTTCTTATGTTATCTACGTCAAACTAAGAATCTAAAAGGCTCAACCTTGTCCACTTATCTTGCAGCCATAAGTTCTGTCATAACTATGAGAACGGGCGTCAAGTTGACTAAAACACCGGAGTTACTCGCTTTGTTACGAGCGTTCCGATTGGAGGATCAGAAACGGAAGTTTCAAGCTCCAGCCTGGGATCTAAATATAGTACTCCAACACCTCACGAGTGAGGCTTATGAGCCATTGTTATCTGCTTCGTTTGAATCACTGACCCACAAAACCTTATTCCTGTTAGCATTAGCTACTGCCGCCAGGATGTCTGAGATTCACGCTTTGGATTACGAGAGAACACGCTTTGATGATACTCATAACATCGCTCATCTGGGACTTCGCTGGGACTTTATAGCGAAAAATCAACTGCCAGGTCAACCAGACAGATTGTTCCATGTCCCAGCTCTCTCATCCATACTTGGACCGCATGATACGATGGACCTATCACTTTGCCCTGTACGTGCACTGAAAATATATCTCCAACGATCCAAGCAAAGTAGAGGGAAATTCAAAAGATTGTTTATCCCTATATCTACCGCTTCGCAGACAGAAGTGTCGCGTACTACGATTTCTATTTGGATCAGAACTGTCATACTACGAGCCTACAAGGCTGCAGGACTCGACCCTCCAAGAGCTTCTAATCCTCATGAAATTAGAGCGCTAGCCTCAACTCTCGCTCTACATGGAAATTGCTCGTTGAATACCATTATGGAGGGATGTTTTTGGAGATCCGATATGGTGTTTGCCAACCACTATCTGAGAGATATCACCACCAAGGACGTCTCAGGTATCCACCATTTCGGTCCCATGGTCCTCGCTCAACAGTTGACAGTTCCACGGAGAAGATAAGTCTATCTTACAGATTTTATACTTATCTGATAACAGTACTAATAGCTACATGCTATCTATATATTTTTGCTTAAGTTTATTTTATTATCTTAAGCTCAGTACTATGGTTCTATATCATACTTACAACTCCTAGGAGTTCTGCTATTATATATATGTTCAGCTTAAGTTATCAATCCTTAAGCTCAGTCATATGTTCAATTCATAACATGTATTAGTTAACAAACTCTAAGTAGTTGGTTACTATTATACAGCTTAAGTTATATTATATCTTAAGCACAGTACTATTATAGCTTATATATATGCATATTGTAAGCTTAATACTTTGGTTCATTATAAAAGTATTCACTATAAACTCTCAGAAGTTTATACTATCACATTAATGGCTTCAGCTTACTTTAATGTTGTGTATACTTTTATTATATTCAGTAAATTGTAATAACCTTTATATGGCAGCTGATAAGTTAACAGCAGGAATTCTTCAGTTCAGTGCCTTTATGAAGTTCCCATAGGGTTATTACAATCATCTCAGTTCAAATCACTAATTATTAAAATCCAAAGTATATATAATCCCACCTCCTGTTCCGTCGGATTCTACAAGCAATAAGCATGAGTCAGGATAAGGAAAAATATGTAATTTTTAGAGTAAAATTAATATTTTATACTTATCCTGACTCATGAGGTAAGCCCTCCCTTCCTCCCCACTAAACACTTTGGATTTCTTCGGAAAAATAAAGTGTCTGGCTCAAAACGAAAAAGGAGAGAGTGAGGCACATGGGTTCAGGTGGCGCCCTCGTTCACGCGCTTGTGGAAGGGAGGTAACTCATGGTGAGTACTAATGAGTGATTTTTTATTGAAGGGAACTTCAATTGGGAGATACACGTGTTCCACTAGGTTCGCAAGAAGAAGAAGACAAGCAATAAGCATGAGTCAGGATAAGTATAAAATATTAATTTTACTCTAAAAATTTCATATTGTTTGTTATTCTTTATTCACATGAGTTTACAGGTACATTATTTAGAGAGACAGTAATACTTTTTCCAAATCCCCCCTCCTTTTTACATGATGGGGGGACAAATCCCCCCTAGATTTTTAGTTCTAGAATAGACATGTTGTATTTACATGAATCTGTTATGTGTCCGATTTAAGGATTGACTGTATTTTGGGAGGTTTCAGTGAGCATGGTGAGGCATGAAAGAAAGAACTGATGTGCAAATTTTATGAATCTGGCTAAAAAAGTTAAAAAACTAAACTTCAAAAAAGGAAACGGATACACACTTGTTAACTAAGTAATGATCTTATACACTTCAATTTCAGATTGTAGTTGACGATGACAACAGCAAAGAATGGACACTGTATGATGCAGGACCAAAGAGCATCAAGTGTCCACTCATTTGTTTCCCCCCAGCCAGTGGTGGAGCAGACGTCTACTTCCGACAAATACTAGGCCTGTCTGCTGCAGGATTCCGAGTGATTGGGGTAGGAAGACTCAGCAGCAAGTACACTCTCACTGTCACCATCGACTAAGGATAAACAGCAGATGAAAAATATTTGTACACTTTCGCATGTAATTTTGTCCACTGTAACTTACAGGACATTTCTGAATAGATTGTTGTGTTATACATAACAACTTCTTAAAAGAGCCTTGGGATGAATGGAGTAGATCAAGAAGTTGCTGAGTGTATCCTTGCTTACCCAACCTTCTTTAAAAATTATGCTTGTGGTGATAAATGTTTATGTAGTATCTTCATTGTACCCAGGAAAGATTAATTTTAACAATAATTTCAAGTCACAAATTATGTATACATAATTTTTCAAGTATGTGTCGAAAGGTTTACGTGAGGGGTGGCCTTGTCATCTGAGGCAGCACAATCCACTTGTGGTAAACATCAACATGATCTAAGACCCACATCAAAGCCTTGCAATGATATAACTGGCTTCATGTTTCCAGTATGCCTATGTTTCAGGTGGAATACCCAGTTTACTGGACCATGAGGGAACTTTGTGAAGGCTTCAGGAAGTTATGTGATCATCTGCAGCTTAATAAAGTAAGTTATTTGTCTGTGTCCCCAGAGTTTGAGACCAGATATTGAAATGTCCTCATACTCTGACAACATATCTTCACTCTACATATTTACCATGGATTTGCCTAAACTCGGTTATGGGTTGTCATGACATCATGGCTGGAATATTGCTGGACAGAATGCAGACAATAACTGAGAATGGGTGCAAATAATGTGCACTGCAAGTCCCAACACCAATAACAGAAGTCTGCTTGAGTCATTAATACTAATTTTAATCCTGGTAACATTGCATATGTTTGTTTAACAGACCCATGAACATCCGGGTTAGAATTGGTCTTCAGCAACCCATGCCTGTCGTAAGAGGCAACGAACGAGATGGAGTGGTCAGGCTTGCTGACTTGATTGACACATGTCCCAATTGCATAGATCGATGCTCATGCTGTTGATCACCGGATTGTCTGGTCCACACTCAAATATATACAGACAGCCATATAGCTGGAATATTGCTGAGTGCAGCATTAAGCATCAAATAAACCAAATGTTTAACAGACTGGTTTCTTCACTGAATCATTGAGCTTTAGAGCAGGCTTGACATGTGGAAGTGTCAAGTCCACTGTGTTTCTAGTCTGTAGAAATAGATTACAGCTGGCATTTCAGGACTCACTGTTTGATGCCTCTGATCAGTGTGCGAAATAGTTTCCGGCTTTAGCTAGCCAGTCGGACTAGCTATGCCTGAAAGTTACTAGCCCACAAAATATTTCACTAGCCCAAAATTTGAATGTAGAAACTAAGCAAAAGATTACAAAAATAGGTGAGAATAAGATATTGTCTGCATGACATGGGTTTCATCATTAAGCTGCTTATATAATGAACATGTTTATCAGGCCATAATCTTGCATGATTTCAAAGTGTATTATAACTTAACAAGTCGGAGAGAGTGATATGTTTACAAAATGGCCATATGAAAATTTGCTAGCCAGTTGGGCCAGTAACTGTGGCGATTTACTAGTCCGACTGGATTTTACTAGCCACGGGCTAGCGGGCCAGTAGCTATTTCGCACACTGCCTCTGATCCCTAAAACCTATTTCTGGGATTCCATATGACTCGATGAGGCAGACTGAATCATTCCTTGCTGTGTTCATTCAGACCATTGATGACAAGCTGAGGGAAGGACCTGTACAGAGAGTTTTATTGTAACATTGCAGCTTTCCACTGGTTGTTATTTAACACCCATATGTTGTTGATTTATGTTGTTATCTTTCACACCAGGTTCATATATTCGGGGCTTCTCTGGGAGGCTTCCTGGCTCAGAAGTTTGCGGAGTTCACTCACCGCTCCCCCCGGGTGGCGTCCATCATTCTATGCAACTCTTTCTATGACACATCCATCTTCCAGCAGACAAACTCTGCCGCTACGTATGTACTGCAGAAACATTCTGTCCAGTTTTACGTCTACTGAATTTACTATCATGTGTTTGGAGGGAAACTAGGGCAAAGATTTATGCTTCCTTCAGCAACACTAGGATTCACAGGTCATGGGTTAAAAATTGTGACTGTTCACAAAAGATGCTAAGTGAAGTTCATTATGAGCTATAGATCTTCATCTGAACAAGTGGGCGGTGGGGTAGCTTAGTGGTTAAAGCGTTCGCCCGTCATGCCGAAAACCCGGGTTCGATCCCCACATGGGTACAATGTGTGAAGCCCATATCTGGTGTCCCTCGCCGTGATATTGCTGGAATATTGCTAAAAGCGGCAGTCTAAGTAAACTTAGGCTCAGTATTATTCGTTACACTGCTATACTGAGTCTAACAAAACCTTATAGAAGGTCGCGTCAGCTGACCTTTTGGACTGACCAATCAGTCACAGCTTCCCAAATCGCGAAAGTTAACATTCGCACATACCGTTTGAACCTTTACCTCAAACGGTATGTACTTCGGCCCGTCTCACGTTTTGTACGAATAATACTGAGCCTAAGTTTACTTAGACTGCTAAAAGCAGCATTAAACCAAACTCACTCACTCACTCATCTGAACAAGTGCAGTTAAGTTTACATCAGGGGATCATGTTAGATCAGTTATTCAGTGAGATGTTGTATCCATACTTTTAGATTCTGGATGATGCCAGCACTCTTTCTTAAGAAGATGGTGATGGGAAACTTTGAAAAAGGTGTTGTTGATGCTGAAATTGCTGACTCGGTTGATTTCCTGGTTGAAAAGGTATGAATGTTATGCTTGTAGATCTTACAATTCATTGAAACTGTTTGAAAAATAGTGGTAAAGACCCACATCACTTCAATTCTTTCTCATGTGACCTGTGATACTGTTTAGACTGGTGCTCAACACAGTTGTGCAACTACAATACTGTACAGGGCGTGTTATACCCAATGATACAAGTACAATACTGTACAGGGCGTGTTATACCCAATGATACAAGTACAATACTGTACAGGGCGTGTTATACCCAATGATACAAGTACAATACTGTACAGGGCATGTTATACCCAATGATACAAGTACAATACTGTACAGGGCATGTTATACCCAATGATACAAGTACAATACTGTACAGGGCGTGTTATACCCAATGATACAAGTACAATACTGTACAGGGCGTGTTATGCCTAATGATACAACTGCAGTACTGCTCAGCATGGTTTTAAACCCAATGATACAAGTACAATACTGTACAGGGCGTGTTATACCCAATGATACAAGTACAATACTGTACAGGGCGTGTTATACCCAATGATACAAGTACAATACTGTACAGGACGTGTTATACCCAATGATACAAGTACAATACTGTACAGGGCGTGTTATACCCAATGATACAAGTACAATACTGTACAGGGCATGTTATACCCAATGATACAAGTACAATACTGTACAGGGCGTGTTATACCCAATGATACAAGTACAATACTGTACAGGGCGTGTTATGCCTAATGATACAACTGCAGTACTGCTCAGCATGGTTTTAAACCCAATGATACAAGTACAATACTGTACAGGGCGTGTTATACCCAATGATACAAGTACAATACTGTACAGGGCGGTGTTATACCCAATGATACAAGTACAATACTGTACAGGGCGTGTTATACCCAATGATACAAGTACAATACTGTACAGGGCGTGTTATACCCAATGATACAAGTACAATACTGTACAGGGCATGTTATACCCAATGATACAAGTACAATACTGTACAGGGCATGTTTATACCCAATGATACAAGTACAATACTGTACAGGGCGTGTTATACCCAATGATACAAGTACAATACTGTACAGGGCGTGTTATGCCTAATGATACAACTGCAGTACTGCTCAGCATGGTTTTAAACCCAATGATACAAGTACAATACTGTACAGGGCGTGTTATACCCAATGATACAAGTACAATACTGTACAGGGTGTTAAACCCAATGATACAAGTACAATACTGTACAGGACGTGTTATACCCAATGATACAAGTACAATACTGTACAGGGCATGTTATACCCAATGATACAAGTACAATACTGTACAGGGTGTGTTATACCCAATGATACAAGTACAATACTGTACAGGGCGTTATGCCCAATGATAAAAGTACAACCCCTAATGATACAACTGCAGTACTGTTCAGCATGGTTTTAAACCCAATGATACAAGTACAATACTGTACAGGGCGTGTTATACCCAATGATACAAGTACAATACTGTACAGGGCGTGTTATACCCAATGATACAAGTACAATACTGTACAGGGCGTGTTATACCCAATGATACAAGTACAATACTGTACAGGGCATGTTATACCCAATGATACAAGTACAATACTGTACAGGGCGTGTTATGCCTAGTGATACAACTGCAGTACTGCTCAGCATGGTTTTAAACCCAATGATACAAGTACAATACTGTACAGGGCATGTTATACCCAATGATACAACTGCAGTACTGTTCAGCATGGTGTTAAACCCAATGATACAAGTACAATACTGTACAGGGCGTGTTAAACCCAATGATACAACTACAGTACTGTTCAGCATGGTGTTAAACCCAATGATACAAGTACAATACTGTTTAGGTCGGTATTAAACCCAATGATACAACTGCAGTACTGTTCAGCATGGTGTTAAACCCAATGATACAAGTACAATACTGTACAGGGCGTGTTAAACCCAATGATACAAGTACAATACTGTACAGGGCGTGTTAAACCCAATGATAAACTGCAGTACTGTTCAGCATGGCATTAAACCAAACAATACAAGTACAATACTGTACAGGGCGTGTTAAACCTAATGATAAACTACAGTACTGTTCAGCATGATGTTAAACCCAGTGATACAAGTACAATACTGTTTAGGTCGGTATTAAACTCAATGGTACAACTGCAGTACGGTTCTGGGCCCTGTTTCACAAAGCGATCTCACCACTACGACTGTCGTAACTCTATGTTAAAGTATAGGAAATATGATAGTCGTAGCCCTATGATTCCTTTGTGAAATGTGGTCCAGGTTACTGTTAAACCTAAAGATACAACTGCAGTGTTTTCAGGGAGGTGATAAATCCAGCTCCCTTATCCTTTCCACGATACACGAAAGGGATGTAAACTGACATAAAATCCTAATGCAGACAAACATAATCTTAGAAGTTAAACACAGCTTTGTCCTAAAACCAAATGATTTCAAAGCATATCAGCACTTTGTGGGCCCTCTTGCCGCCAGAGCTTTGTCTTAAGCATGATTTGAATGACCAGATGCTAATAAGAGCTGTTAATTCAGTTGTCTGTCATGAGACATGATTTCATGTAGTAATTGATATGAGAGATGGATGGTGACAAATGGATCCAGGTTATCTATTATAACATTATGGAGATTTAAGGAACTGGATAATCGAGGATGATGTTTCAGTTGTTTTCATGTCTTTTAACAGTTGGACCAACTTAGCCAGCCAGAGCTGGCATCGAGACTAACGCTGAACTGCATGAACTGCTACATTGAACCACAGAAACTGCGTGGAGTTGAGGTTACCATTATTGATGTAAGTACACTTGCTGGACCTCACTGATGGTATGTTGAGGGTGCTATGGTATGTTGATGGTGCTATGTTCTGTTAAGGGTGTTGTGGTATGTAGAAGGTACAGTGATCTGTTGAAGGTTGTATGGTATGTAGATGGTGCAGAAGTCTGGTCAGCGAGTCATGGTCTGGTGAGGGTGCTGTGGTGTGTGGAGGTTGTAGTGGGCGATCCATGGTCTGGTGAGGGTGCTGTGGTATGTGGAGGTTGTAGTGAGCGATCCATGGTCTGGTGAGGGTGCTGTGGTATGTGGAGGTTGTAGTGAACGAGCCATGGTCTGGTGAGGGTGCTGTGGTATGTGGAGGTTGTAGTGGGCGATCCATGGTCTGGTGAGGGTGCTGTGGTATGTGGAGGTTATAGTGAGCGATCCATGGTCTTGGGAGGGTGCTGTGGTATGTGGAGGTTGTAGTGAGCGATCCATGGTCTGTGGAGGGTGCTGTGGTATGTGGAGGTTGTAGTGGGCGATCCATGGTCTGTGGAGGGTGCTGTGGTATGTGGAGGTTGTAGTGGGCGCATCCATGGTCTGTGGAGGGTGCTGTGGTATGTGGAGGTTGTAGTGGTTGAGCCATGGTCTTGGGAGGGTGCTGTGGTATGTGGAGGTTGTAGTGGGCGATCCATGGTCTGTGGAGGGTGCTGTGGTATGTGGAGGTTATAGTGAGTGATCCATGGTCTTGGGAGGGTGCTGTGGTATGTGGAGGTTGTAGTGGGCGATCCATGGTCTGGTGAGGAGTGCTGTGGTATGTGGAGGTTGTAGTGGGCTTGATCCATGGTCTGGTGAGGGTGCTGTGGTATGTGGAGGTTGTAGTGAGCCGAGATATGGTCTGGTGGAGGGTGCTGTGGTATGTGGAGGTTGTAGTGAGCCATCATGGTCTGGTGAGGGTGCTGTGGTATGTGGAGGTTGTAGTGAGCGATATGGTCTGGTGAGGGTGCTGTGGTATGTGGAGGTTGTAGTGAGCGAGCCATGGTCTGGTGAGGGTGCTGTGGTATGTGGAGGTTGTAGTGAGCGGGCGAATCCATGGTCTGGGTGGAGGGTGCTGTGGTATGTGGAGGTTGTAGTGGCCATCCATGGTCTGGTGAGGAGGGTGCTGTGGTATGTGGAGGTTGTAGTGGCTGAGCAGTGAGCGACACATGGTCTGGTGAGGGTGCTGTGGTATGTGGAGGTTGTAGTGGTGCGATCCATGGTCTGGTGAGGGTGCTGTGGTATGTGGAGGTTGTAGTGAGCGAGATATGGTCTGGTGAGGGTGCTGTGGTATGTGGAGGTTGTAGTGAGCGAGATATGGTCTGGTGAGGGTGCTGTGGTATGTGGAGGTTGTAGTGAGCCGCTGGTCTGGTGAGGGTGCTGTGGTATGTGGAGGTTGTAGTGAGCGAGATATGGTCTGGTGAGGTAGCTGTGGTATGTGGAGGTTGTAGTGAGCAAGCCATGGTCTTGGGAGGGTGCTGTGGTATGTGGAGGTTGTAGTGAGTGATCCATGGTCTGGTGAGGGTGCTGTGGCATGTGGAGGTTATAGTGAGTGAGCCATGGTTTGGTGAGGGTACTATGGCATGTGAATGGCACCACAGTGTAGGGCTCCACTGTCTGTTGCAGGTGTTTGATGACTGTGCCTTATCTCATGCTGTGAGAGAGGAGATGTACAAATGTTACCCAGACGCTAAACGAGCCCACCTGAAGACTGGCGGCAACTTCCCTTACCTAAGTCGCAGTGCAGAGGTCAACGTCTTCATACAGGTACAGCACATAGATTACAGCGTTACCTCATACAATGATATGGTTCATCAGTGAGTACTGTTCACCCAGGACCAAACTTAGAACTTTAAGGCACCAAAATATTCGTACACCTTTAAGGATTTGGACAAGGATGTATCTAGAGATCCAAACTAAGTGCTTTTGGCAGGCAAATCGGGTAAACAATCTGTAATTTTCTTCACTTCTGAAGTATTTTAACATTATATTTTAGTATTCAGTGATATAAACTAAACATCGAAGCTTCTCTCAACACATTTCACCACTACAAAGCCATGATGTTGGTTAAACATTACTTATGCTGTTTTAGTCCCAGTTTGAAAATCTATACCAGTGTCTGCTGCAGACATGGCTGAGTAGTATTATCATAGAGTTTCTGCCAGTTAAATTGATCATCTGACCGATTCTGTAATGTATTCAATGGTATGGATCGAAACATGCTACTTTCTCCTATGCATATGACAAGGTTTTGGACCAACTTTTGACATGAATTTAGCACATCAAGTTGGGATTATAATTTCATTTGGGGTGGGAGCTTTGAATTTTATGACAAAAAGTCTGTAAACAATGTAATCTATCTGTTACAGATTCACTTAAAGCTGTTTGACACTACCCAATACCATGCCAAAGAAATCACAGCAGAAGAGCAGGAGAATTATAACTCCCGTGATGCCAATGCCAACATCAACGAATCATGAGGCCCTGCCACGACTTCTCGAGGCAGACTGGGAATCTATCATGTCTTTCACATAATAGGAGAGTAAAGCTTGGCATCTTCTATGCATCGACCACAACAAGCTGCTGTGATCGTCCAAATATTGGCAAAAGTTCCTTGAAGTTATTGTAATGACAAGAGCAATGTGCAACTCTTTCTTCTCTCTGGGCTACAAGGTGGATGGAGTGTGATAGCAAGGAGAATGTTATGTATTTCAGCAATCATCTTTGGAGAACTTGGTTTGGACGTGTCAGGTTGTTTTACGTATTCTAACATGATTTTCTGATTGATTTTCATAGTTAAGAAATAAACATTGATTTATGCTTCATTTACATATTGTAAAAAATCTAAAGCTCATTATGTCCTGCTGTGTCCTTGTTATTTTGTTCTTGTTGGTGTTTTAATATTTGTTGCTGTTCCCGTGAGTAATACTTTGTTAAATATTTTAATCCATGCTCTTATTCTGGAGTGTTTGAAAGCAGCTAGATACTCGATGACAGGCATCCTCAGATGTCATCATCACCACACTGAAGTGATAAATATGTAAATATCAAGCTGCAAGGTGGACATACAGAATAGTCAATGTGATCATATACATTGTAAGTAACTAACAAAGTTAGTAATAATGAAACTAACAATAATGTGATGTCTAGTCCCTTTTAAGTTGTAACGCATTTGACAGCTCCTGGGGACTTCAGTTTCTCTGTGTCTGAGAATATGTATACTGCAGAATTTTAGTGCTTGAGTTTGTTCCAGTATTTTTAAAGTGTTAACAATGTCAGGACATCTGGGCATCGGTGACCCAGTCATCGGGACACCTCAATCTGCTGTGTAGAGTTCTGTCCCTTGGGTATTCCAGTTCAATGGGGATGAATCCAATACTCAACCTTTCTAGTTTCTCAGCACCATCCTCATTGGTTTCACTAAGTAGTATATGTCTAAGATTACTTCATGCTTTCCTCTAATTTCCAGAAAGCTGTTGAACAAATTCACTCACTCATGACATCACTTACCAGGGTTATGATGCATGTTATTAGACCGCCATACATGGTTGAATTGTTATATCGTTCCTGACAGTGGAACTATGCGGTTCGTCAAGTGGAGATAGAGCTCACACAGAAGACAAAGATACACATTCCTATGTTGTTGACTGTGGCAAAATGTTTAGTCATTAGTTTGATGAGTACCAGTAGTTATTTCCATGTGAATTAACACATGATAAAACTGCTTGCATACATTTTTTATTTTTATTTCAAAATGGCAGACAGGTGTGGGTTGTTTTTAGCTGAGAAAAGGTTTAATCATTTCTTTCTGCATCGAGTTGACTGTATTTTGATAGTCAAACCAAAAGGTTTATGTGCATCATTTTTTGCTACTACAACTTGCTGATTCTTTCTTACAGTAAGTTTCAGTTTGTGGTTCTTTCCTAATTTGTTTGTGTATCCAGAGCCTAAAGGGTATCCTTGTAAATAAGCAAACTGCATGTGTGTAACGCTTTCCCATATCTGATGACATAGTGCCATGTGGCGCCCGTTTTCTACAAGTAGGGCAGAGTGCAATTGTGATACAGTGAATGCTCCCTGTGAAAGAGGCTTGTATCACATCTCGACTATTTCATGCATAAAGTCCAGTATTTTTCATTTCAGTGTAATCCCAACATACATGTATCACAGAGACATATTTCTTGATGACTCACTGTAGCAAGAAGAGCATGTATTAATATCTTTGTCTTCATTTCTTAATATGTATATACACTCACAAAATGAATTCAGGGAACATACATGAGAAAGGTGAAGGCAGACATTTTTTACCAAGTAACATACAGTTGATGGATGAAATGGTTTGATAATTTAGACTTGCACCAAATACTTATTTTTTACATTTGTTATTAGACTGAATACTAGTATTCAATTACCCATTCTCTGAACTTAATCCAAGAGTGTATATCCAAGTGGAGATCAAAAGAACTATTACTCACAAAATTAGAAATGACTGGGAACTGTTTACTGCTTGCATTCTTAAAAATGAACAAATTACTGTAAAGGAATTGCTGTAATTGTGTCTCATAATTTGGAGGAGTGAATTGTGAGATTATTCTCCTAAACTATAATTAATTTCAGTTTACAACAAAGCCTTGTTCCTCAAAGCAATTCAATGTAAAGACTGTCATCATAAGTGTACAGAAAGTTCTGATACCTTGGTGTACTGAGAGACTGGGTGCGCCAGTACAGAAGGCCATGATACATAGTTCAATGTGCCAGGATGACAACACAAAGGCCATAACTGAACAGGGCTTTTCCCCCTAATATTAAAGATAAAGGACCCTAATACTTGAATCAGAACATCCTTTCAGTACTGTCCCAAAAAATACATATTTTGTCTATTACCTATCAGAGTGCTTGAGTTGAGGTGTTTTATCTCTTATCTTTGTAATGAAAAGAGGATTGCTTTGTGGAGCAGGGCAGTTTGATTATTACTCCCATTGCTTCCTGCTTCATAGCTTTTAAGTTTTGTGAAATGTTACTTACGCTAAGATGTTTGTGATCAACAAAGTGAGTTTGAATTATCGATATCTCTGTTGGGCTGCAGATATTATGGAACAAGACATGCAGGTTTACAAATTGTATGGCCATATGTGTGATATCTATTGTTTCAGTGGAATGAATGTGAATATACATGATATAAAGTAGAGTTTGTGTGTGAACATCAGTTGTTGAGCAGTTATATGTTTAACAGACCCAAGTTCACTCAGAATATCAATCATGACATGAAGTAGCCTGTTCCAGTGAATGGTTATGTATTACAGCCTCTGACAGACGTGCTCCAGTGGCATGATGTTTTCATTAGCATGCTACTCAGCATGTATTTTTGTGTGATGATATGGAGATATCGAACTGTGTGTTTCAGTGACACCAAGCTTTACTCTTTTGATTGATGCATTGTATGCAAACCTTTCTGAATGACAGCGCCAATTAGAAATTGTACATAACATTCTAGGTAATATTATACCCAAATATTTTTTACTTCAAAATAATGACTTGTATCAATCTTTGTGTAATAAATTTACTAAAAAAATTCATGTGTTTTTGTTAGCATTACGCACAAGTTTCACACTGAACAGAACCAAAATCATGACAGATATGTTTTCCCAGTTTCAAATGGAATACAGTATGTGACTGAGGTACCAGAACCATTTGCTCATTCAGTATCATTTACCCACTCTCTTTATCTATCTCAAGGCTTCCATAAATTCCTGGACATTGCATACTCTAGGATGAAAACACTGTTAGTGTAAAACTGAACAGACAAAATATTCATTGGAAGAATTTAGTCTCACAATGTTAGCATATTTTAACAATTTTCAACAAACAAATGCAGCAATGTATGAAATAACTTTAATTAAGGCCATCCATATCTTCCATTCAGGTCATACAACATACCTATCACAAAGTCACTCTTTAATATTGGCTTTCTACTGACTAAACATTCCTGTTAACGCCATTTAGCAGCTTTAGGTAGTATTCTGCCTTTAACAGATCCTTTTAAGAGTCTTTCATAAGGTGCAAGCGAGTGCCTCCCCTTTAGGAATCTTCTCCAAAGTATGTGAATGCCATTTTCTGAATACAGCCTTTGGTGGATGCCATGTTTATTGATGCGCTTCCATGCACTGGGGTTATAGAGGGGCTTAACCTTCTTCCCCCTCACAGACTGGACACACACACCAGCCCACCGACACTGTCCAGGGGCTGGACACTCATAGTTCAAGCTTGATGCACCAGTGTTGAAGAGTGTCCGGGAAGACAACTGTTGCGTCTGTGAGGAGCAATTTGTGGTTGGTTTGGCAAATATTGCAGATGACACACGGGATAACAACCTGAAACAAACAGCACTCCTCCGTTATCTAGTATATCATATCTCAATATCATTTTGAAATATTGCCACATCATAGACTTTCAGAAATCAGTGCTCACTCGGGCTGTAAGGAGGGGTGTTGCATCACACAGACATTGATATTAAGTTAAAGGTCACATGCAACCCAAAAATCATACATAATTAAAACACAATTATCACTTATTCATGACACATAATATACATTGCTGGTTATGAAAAAACATATAAACAAAATTATAAGCGTACAATCGCAAATCAAAAGTGCAATATTGTCTACTTTGGTTTACTTCCCAAGAAACGAAGCCGCCGGGATACCGAACCCAGTCAGAGCGGGTGGGTGTGCACTCAAGTGTAACGACTGGTTCATTTGCAGATGCCCTCACAGGTCATTGTGTGTGTATATATAGAGATGTTGGGTTTTGTAAATACATGCTCATTTTTTGTGTATAACATTTTGCAATCAACAGACATCATAACATGTCATGTGTTCAAGTATCACACCTGCCTGTCTGTGTAATTACATAATGTGACAGAGACCGAACTCGGGCCATAAATCAATGCATTTTGTTTATGGTGTATAGCCTGATTGGTGTTAAGTTCAAATTGCATGTGGTCAGTGATAGCAGCTGTGTATTGAATATTGTCATTGGCAGACAGGCAGGCAGACACACAGGTGTCAATAAAACAAGACATTGAGTTTAGTCTGTGACGACATATCTATATCACAGTTTGAAATTCTGTCAACGCTAAATAATGGCATTGCTTTTAAGTATCGAACTGAGAAAGTGACTCGGTAAGAAGAACGTGTGGTGAAATAGAAAAATGAAATTATATGAACAGTTAATTTACTGTCATAACATATAAAAAGCTTGCGCCTGTGAGATATCAACAAAACATTAGAAAAATAGCTCACACCAAAGCATTCACCGAGCATTCACCAGACAACCGCTTCCAAGATGCGCGAACCTACTTCACTGCGCACGTGCTTTAAGCGCAGCCCAGCTGTTGAAACCCGTTTTCCCCAGAAAAGTCGGGGGAAAATTAGTGAAACCTTTGAACTCTGATTGCGCGCGTTTTTTTTCATCGCGT